TCCCCACACCCCACCCCTTTCTTAGCTGTCCCGACTCCACCTGCCCTTGAAGGTGTGGAGTGCTCACTGGAGAGCCCAGACAGACCCACAGTTGTGCATTTCAGGGCAAGAGTACACCTGTGGAGAGCCCCAGCCTTCAGGGGACTCGGATTTTGGACTCAAGGTGAGGAGGTGGCAATGGCACTGCTTCTTGTTTGGGACCCAGGTGTTCCGGGCTTGGGGTTAAACTGCCGCTTCCTGTGTGGCCTGAGGTCCACTTCGTGCTGACACTCCAGGAGGCGACTGGACGGACTTGCTGGAGCCCACACTTGTCCTGATTCACCAGCTCTCCTCACCTGATCTCCTACCTGTCACACTGAGGTCTTGCCGATCCCGTCTACGTGGCCCACGTTAGTCTACTTCACCTGTGGTCATTCTGGAGCGTGCACCCCTGGTCCCCAGCACACTTTTCTAATGTTCTAAATGAACTCAAGCCCTGCCTTCTCCATGAAGTGGCCTCGACCCCCAAGGGTGCCCCAGGCACTTCTGTCAGCGTCCTTCAGGCCCTGCCACTAGGCCCCGTGTCACTCTCCCTGATGCTCGCTCCCCAGTGAGAATGTAAGCGCCCCTGTTCCCTGGGCTTAGGATGGTGCCCACCCGGCAGATGTCAGCTGACGACCCTATATAAGAACATGCAGCTTACACCTATCCACCCCACTCATGGGGCCAGGGTCGGGACAGAGCCCGACACTGAGGGGGTGCACATGACAAAAAACATGCTGTTTTTTACCTTGGTCACCTTTATAAATACAGGGTGCTGTCTGTGTATGTATACATCAATGTCACTTATGTAAAAGAAAAGGCAGGTCACTCACCGCAGAAGGCTGGACACCAGATGGATGACCCAGCGCAGTGCCTTCCCTGAAGAGAAAGTGCCTTCTTCCTGTGTGACCTAGAAGCATCCACTTTTACACATGTACCCAGCTCACCTCGGGTCTGTACCTTGACTGTCCAAAATGCAGATTGCCAAGTTGTGCCCTGCAGGTGCCAGATGTTCAAAACTATTGTTTTGATATCATCGATATTGATAAGGTAAAGTTAGATGCTTAGGTGCCTTAAAGTATATACTTGATATTTTATACAAAAGCTAGAGAAGGACTTGCTTTAGTTGTGATCAACAAAAATTTGACTTTTAAGCAACAAGTTTTTTAACTTAAACATTTTTTATGTAAATCTGTCTTGAAAGACATTATTTCCAGACTTCCTAGAAGGAAAACACTGAACACGTTGAGAATTCTTTTGAAGAGGCAATGATGGGACTGAACCCCGGCCCTGTGCTCAATGCATGGCTGTGAGAAATGGCTTCAAGTGGGCTGAGCTCATCTACTTTGTTTTTTGCTCTTGCTGTGACCTGCCAATTTTTCTGTAAATGACCTGTTTTTGTTTATGTATGCTGGTACATGTTTAGTATGCAGAGACCGGAGAACCAGCCATCTGGGCATTTGGGAATTGCCACTGGAAGGGTGGGTGTGTAAGTGTGGGGGTGCACGTTAGCAGCAGTGGTCGGTGCAGGGGTGGGGAATCATTTCTCTGCCAAGGGCCATTTGGATATCTATAACATCATTCACGGGCAGTACAAAATTATCAACTTAAAAATTAGCCTGTTATATTTGGTCAAACATTTAATCAACTCACCCCTAATGTGATGGCTGGAACTGCTTCTCTTTGGCGAGGCCTTGGCAGGGCCAGACCCAATGACTCCGTGGGCTGTCTACCGGCTGCGGGCTGGCCATTCCCCACCCCTTCGAGGTTGGGAAGCATTTGGGCAAAGACCTCAATAATGAAGAGATGGCGATGGAAAACCTGGGAAAGTGTTCCAAGATGGAGGGCATGGGTGCAAAAGACCCCGAGAACATGTTTGAGGGACGGAAGCAGGCTCGGCACCCAGCTGGCATCGCTCAGTGATTGAGCGTCAGTTGACCCAGGATCCAGGAGACTGAGGTTCGATTCCCAGTCAGGGCGCAGGCCTGGGTTGCGGGCTTGATCCCCAGGAGGGGGCGTGCAGAAGGCAGTCGAACAATGCCTCTCATCATTGATGTTTCTAACTCTCCCTGAAATAACACATTTAAAAAAAGAAAAAAGAAAAGAGCAGGCTTGGCTAGTACGAGCAGGGCAGAGGTGAGTGGACCAAGGAAGGTCTGTGGTCCTGACCAACTGGAAGTGCCACTGGGAAGTCGCCGCAGGGTGTCAGGGAAGGCAGAGAAAGGAGCCCCTAGCCGCAGGACACTCCATGCCTCCCTCTCCAGTGGTCAGCCTCCCACCTGTGGACCTGCCCTTCCGATGGGGACTTAGGAAGGACCTTGTACCTGTGCCAACTCGTACAAGTGAACCTGGCTGTCGGATAACCCCGCTCTGTGCCAACTTACTCCCCCGGGAAGGATGAGATAGCTGGCTTTCTATGGTCTCTTCCAAATCGTGCTATTATATGTTAACAATCTTTGCTAATGTAACAGGTAAAAATGACCTCACTGCAATTTGCTTTCCCTCTTATTACAGTAGCTGAGCAGCTTCCCATAACCTTAAGGGCCACTGTATTTTCTGTACTGTGAACTGTCCATAGACTGTTTCTTTCTGTTGCCTTATTTTTTTATTGCCTCCAAAGAGCTTTACACGTATGAGGGAAACGAGTCCTTGCCCGGATCGGTTTCAGGCCGTCCGTCCCCCCCCCCGAGCATCACCTGCTCTGACATTGTTAACGGGGGTCTTGGCCGGGCGGGAGTGAACAGGCAGCTACTTCTCTGCCTCTGACGGGCCAGGACTAGGTTCAAGGACCCCTTACTCCCGTTTCTATACTTTGTTTCCCACTACATCTGATGGAGGGAATCAGGCCACAGAAGCCCGAGCTGGTGGGGCAGGGGAGGGGCCCAGCCTCAGCCGGGCTCCTAGCGCGCGGCCCAGGGCGCGTCCCCGGGGCTGCCCCCCGGGCGCCCCCACCGGGGTCCAAGCGCCCCGCATCTGGTCACGAGCTGGGGGGCGGGGGGCAGAGCACGCGCTCATGCTTACTGATGGGCCGGAACGACGGACAAGACCCCAAGACCCGCAGCCGCCGTCGGCTAAGCTCAGAAACCACGACGGGGCGGCGAACCTCAGCTACGGCTTAGAAGAAAAAACTCGACCCCTTCCCCCACCTAACCCGCCCCCCCAAGAAATCAGGGCCCGACGTGGCCACCGGAAGGGTAAAGGGGCTGTGCGAGCTGTCCGTGCGCATCTCTGCCGGGGTTGCGGGACCCGGC